CTTGTAATAGCTGCAATTTCTATGGCACTCAGCAATTACATAGCTTACTTGTGAATTTTAAGATTCATAAATGTAACTTAAGGCAGAGTTTTCATAACAAGGGCACTGTGTATCCAAAGACTACTGGGCCTCCAGTTCCAAGTGACCAGCATTTTCCAGTGTCTTGTGAAAACCCAAACAGAGCAGCTGAAGCTTCTTGCTGCCTAACTCTACCCTAGATTCCCAGATGACAGCACAAACAGTAACCTAGCAGGCAACACACCTAACACAAGTCCCAGCTACAGCAGCTCTATACAGTGAGTTCTTCACTTCAAGCAGCTCTGCCTGTATCAAGTCTGCAAAACATCCACAGGCACAGAAAACTTTGGATGCCTCACCTGATTCTCTTCCACTGGCTACAGATTCTTGCTACATGGGCCAGTACACAGAGGGAGCAGAGACGGAACAACTGCTTTACTGCCTTTACTCAACATATTACAGAAACACTTTCAAAGAGCATATTCCACCACAAAGCCTGCTGGAACTTGATCCTCATGCGTGCTACTCTTGCTCTAAAACTAGAAAGCTATTTTAGGGAAGTACATTTTGATTTATACATATATCCATTCAATACTCTGAGCTCTCTGTCACCACATATATAAAACCTACATTATAGATTTCTTCCAGTTAAAGTGCTTCAGGCTTATGCACACTTAGCTCAAGTTGTAATTAAACACTTAGCTTTTTTTACATTAAGACCTGTAACGCCGCAGTGTTGGTAACAACCTTGCTGAAAGTTTGAATTTTGCCTTAGATTTTAGACAGTAATAATTAAATACACTTCTGAAATGCACCTATAAACTAATAGCTATTTCCTAACGAATAAACACCAAATAAGACATCCATCTGCTCAGCCAACAGTGATAAATTCCTCTGAGACAAGAGAGTGATTAACATTGTAACCCACTCTGTACCTGCCCCAATTTCAGACAGTGCAAGATCTGCATGATTCTATCCCTTGACAGATCAAGGTCTGGTCTGTTCTATACTGTAACATCTATCACAGTCTCAACCCATGAAAAGTCAAGATCTGAGAAAACTCATCCTCACTACTTAGTGATAGACCACCATTCTTATTAACTGCTCTTGCAAGTTCAGTATGAAATATTGACTGAAAGTACTAAAAAAAAAAACAAACCAAAACAAAACCCACATCAAAACCACAGGAATCCCTAGAATATTATCAGTTTTCTAACTACTGCATCCAATACTGGCCATAAAAAAATAACAACAACAAACCCCTGAAATTTTCAAGTTTGTATCTCGAGTTCCACACCTGTCACAAAGCCCCCCAATTACAGGCAGCGTTTTTTACTGAAGGATTCAGCTCCTCCTAACACATTCAGTGCTCAGATTCAGCATATCTAGTTAATTAGTTAAAAACAGGACAGCTGTCATTGTCTCATCAGATTTAAAGATCTTTCTTGTCTAACATGACTTATCATCATACTGCTTAAGTATAGACTGGTTAAATGAATTTACACCATTTTTCAAGACCAGACACATAATCCATATGGACCTGTACTTAACTGTAGTATAACTGTTTGACACACCATGCTTGCACTACCACTGACTTCATTAACAAAAACGTGTGTTCCTAGACATCAGCCTTGCAAACTACAGCACATGAGCACTAGCCAGTTTCAAAGCACCTCAATGAATTCTTCACACATCCAAATCTGTTTGCTGCTGGTGCCTACTTTTTCATCTTGGTGGTGGAAGGTACAATCTAACTGCCACCAGTTAAAATAACTCACATTTGAAAAGAAGTATCATTATTCCTTCTAAACTACCAACATGAAGCAAGAATTTCTATAAACAGACCAAACTTTACAATTCAGCAAAGCAACATAACATTTGCCAGTTAGACTGCCAAAATTATGTGTGTATTATTACCACATGTAAAATCATACTTACATTCCGATTAAATTTTGTAAAGGAATGATGCATATAAAACCTGTGCATGTAAACAATTGCAGTATTTATCGTAAGCTGGGATCTGGAAGGTTAAATTAAGGAAACACTACATATTCATATTAAGAAAATTGTTCACATGGACTGAAAGTGACATACTTTCTGCATCAATCACTACTTTTAACATACAGACTTCAGCTGGAAATGAATTAAGGACGTGACATTTCAGAATTTAACTGCTATTAACTCACTGAATGAAAATAATACTACTGAATAGAAACTCCTCACTGGGCGACATAAACTGAAATACTGTCTCGAGCGCTTTTGCTTTGGTCCAATTCAACTATTTCAGTAGTTATTAGAGGTTTTAGCCTTACGTTGATCTTTTTTTTCTCATAAATCAAATTTGATAATGGCTAACGAGGAGATGCCCATTTGAAGGAAAACGAGGCCGCAGTCAACCGGGATGTACTTCAGGAGTGCCTACACCGGCAGCAACCGACACGAACGGAGCCAGAAGGTTCGGTGCAGACCCGCCGCCTGCGCGGTCAGCCGCGACCCCGGCCTCCCTCACACGCCGACAAAGGCGGCGAAGCGGGGGTTTGGCGAGGCTCCTCCTCCCATTCTGTGCCTCACGGCCGCGGCTCCATCCCACGAGAGCGCCCTTCAGGGGCTGCCGAAGGAGTGGAGAGGGTCCCGGGGAGGTAGAGTGCCCATTCGGCCGGTAAAATCTGCAGCCGGGATGCGGGAGGGGGAACTCCTTAGCTACAGGGTTTGATGGCCGTGAGAGGGGCTGCAGCAAAGCCACCGCTCGGGCGGCGGCGCGGGGAGGTGCTGGTGCGCAGCCCTTCGCCCGTCCGGCAGGTCTGACCGTACTAGACCTCTCCTGTGGCACCGCGCCCCTGGCGGCCTGCTGCGGTGTCTGTTTGGGATGGGGTGGCGGAGTGGCTGGTGTCTTCCTCGGAAGTTGAAGCCCGCTATCACTATGGAAGAGGCAGCAGCCGCGGGTTGCGGTTTGTGTGTCCCGGCCTTTGTGGGTGGTTTCTTACAGCGGTGGGGCGCAGGTGTGGGAGGAGAGCCGCCGGGCCGAGCTCCGCGGTACTGCTTTGATTGTGTTTGCTTCGACTGCTAGCGTTCCGTTGCGAAGACAAATAGCCTTTATTTAGTCTATATTTAAAATTCTAATTATGGTGGATCAAAATGAGAGCTGCAGACGTCCTTCTTATACTTAGCATTCGCCACTAGCACTCTGCAGTGGTCTTTTTCACCTAGTTCAACTAGTTCTTCTACAAGTTTGGTGCATATTACATACAGGGAGTTATAATCCTATACCTAGGCCCAACAGAATGTTAATAAAATACACAGCTGCATAATGAAGCATAGACAGACATGAATTGTTTGTCCTTAACCTCCTCAAAGGTAAATAAGATTTTGCATGTGCAGAGGAAATTTAACTACGAAGATTTCTGCTGGAAGTGGGATCTGATCTTCCCCTTCCTATTTCTGTGCCTTTAATAATCTTATAATGCATTGGTTTATCTCATTGTTTAAATCATTGTATAAAACTGAGGGACTTCGGGGATTCAGTTGAAGTTTTTTTTATTCCTTCAGAAATTGGTAGAAGAGTATTGAGAATGTTCTTGTGTATAACTACAATTTTATGTTACCTTTGTTAATGAAAAGAACAAGGAAGATGAAGGGAAGATTATATATATCCCTGTCTTAAAAATACTTTGAGAGTAAGTAGAATCTCATTAACTATTGACAGTGCATAATTAATATTAATTATGCAGGGTATGCATATTAATTAATTGCCATGCAGAGCTCTGTAATCACCCAGTCAGTCACAGGCTAAGGTAATTAAATACTGTTTTTGCTATTGGAAAGGTTCCAGACCTTGGTACTCAAAAGATGTAATAGTGCCTTCTCACTGACTTAACTGTGGCATAATTAATCCAGTTCAAATGCATTGGAGGGATCACTGTGTATTTTCCTCTTATATCTGTTCAAGTGTGAAAATCTAATATGCCAAAGAAAGAGAATATGAGAATGAAGTTGCCTTTCTTCAGCTCTGAAATTTAATGTACATTTCAGTAGCTCAGTGCTTGCATGTAGATATTTAAATAAAAAAGGTTAAAAGAAATCTTGTGAACCTGAGGACAGTAGCTATTGTTAAAGCTATTTTATCTAGGTCCTAGTCTCTTCTTACATGAAAACTGTGGTATTGCCAGAGCCCAAACCTGTGTGCTGCTAACTACTTCAACTTCTGATCCAGTAGTCTTTTATGGACTGTATTTGGAGAAGCAGTATAGTAAAGCTCCAGATGCAGTAATTGGGTGTTGTGGTTTAACACCAGTTGGCAGCTAAGCCCCACACATCTGCTCACTCATTCTCCTCCAGTGGGATGGGGGAGAGAATGGGAAGAGTAAAAGTGAGAAAACTCGTGGGTTGAGACAAAGACAGTTTAATAGGTAAAGCAAAAGCTGTGCATACACAGGCAAAGGAAAACAAGGAATTCATTCACCACTTCCCATGGGCAGGAAGGTGTTCACCTATCCCCAGGAAAGTAGGGCTCCATCATGTGTAACTGTTACATGGGAAGACAAAACGCCATCAGTCCAGATGTCCTTCACCCTCCTCCTGCTTCCCCCAGCTTTTCATACTAAGCATGATGCTATATGGTATGGAATATCACTTTGGCCAGTTGAGGTCAGCTGTCCTGGCTGTGTCCCCTCCCAGCTCCTTGTGCATCCCAACTCTGCTCACTGGTGAGGTGTGGTGGGGAGCAGAAAAGATCCTTACTCTCTGCAAAGACTGCTCAGCAGTAACAAAAACAACCCTGTGTCATCAACACCTTTTGCAACACAAATCCAAAACATAGTTCTGTACTAGTAGCTGCTGTGAAGAAAATTAACTCCACTCCAGCCAAAACCAGCACACTAGGAAAACATAATTGACCTGCACAAACCACTTCTTGTTTTATTTTGTTTTTACGTTTTAGTTTGGGTTTTGGTGGGTTTTTTTTTTGGTGTGTGTTTTTTGTTGGGTTGGTTTTTTTGGTTTGTTTTTTTTTTGTGTGTGACATTAAAGAAGGACAAAGCTTTCTTTGTAGTCCAGCAGAGACTGGTATCAGCACGAACTGCTGATGTTCAGCATCTTTTGGTTGCAGCCTGTGGCATAAGGATTGTTATGGACACAGCTACAAAACCAAATGCTGTCTAATTCTGTTTTTCCTGGAGCATTTTAAGACAAAACAGGAATGGTGACAGCACGCATAGCCAGCAAAGGATCCCATGAGAATGGAGACTGGAAGTGCTCATCAGTATTTTGATGACTGATATAAAATCCTCTCAGGAGGACACCTGTGCACCCAGTGGATAAGCATGAAAACCCATTTCAGTCAATAGTCTAGAAAGTAAACCATCTTTCCGTTCCTCTAGCAGGACTACAACTATGTAGCGCATTAACATTTCAACATTTAAAGTAGCCAAGCTTACTTTTAAGAAGCAGTTTTTTTTAAGGACTGGAACATTAAACCATACTGTTGCTAAATACTAGTATTTATTTTGAAAGCGATGCACAACGTATTACCCACACAAATACATTATTAGTACACCTACAACTGCATTGATCAAATTGCGTCAGATGAATGAAGTTGCCAGTGGTGTAGGTGGCAGCTGCAAAGTACAAGTCCACACACAGACCTTTTTCATCCTATCACAACATTTCTGAAGTGTTGGTGCGTGTGCTTGGAGTGCTGAGCTGCAGCGTGTATACTGCCACCTCATTCCGTGGGTAAAGGCAAATGTCTTATTTTTTTTACTGGGCACCAACAAAACCTCTGGTTTGAGATTCTTTTAAATTCTGTTTATTGGGCATAACAAAACTGAAATGTAATGGATGCAAGTCATAATTTTCTCTGTTCTTTCTCCTGGGAATCAAGTCCTAATACCACAACACTGATTATCTTTCAGAGATTTTTATTACAACTGCAAAAGAGGAAATCTTTCTTTTTCCGTGAAACCTAGAATTTCAGAATTGTTTAAAACATGACCTAAATCCTCAAACACACAGAAACACCTGTGCATACTCATTTCCAGGACACTTGTTTTTGTTCTGGATTTGGTTTAGGCTGTAATGTACTTGTCAAATTTGTTTTTCACCTGTATAGTTGCACATGCAAATGAGAGGATTCTGCATTATTTCCGAAGTTTGGTCTCTTTAATATCTTTATAATCATTCAAATTGTTTTCTGCTAAGACCCAGAAATTCCAGAGCATTTCCAGCCTTGAGTTTATCCTGTTAAAACATAACACATACATATGTTTGTGTGTGCTTAATTCCTGTTTTACTCAAATGCTTTTACTCGTGTTTTGAAATGTACTTGTGTTTTAAAATGAACTGCTGCAAAAAGACTAAAGGGCCTCTTTGCATAAATCAGTGTGCTACACTGATTTGTCAGTGTTTCATCTCAGGTCTAAAACCAGAGGCTTGAAAGGAGGGGAAGAAAACCCCAAATGTAAAGATCATACCTTCTGTTTATTGTCAAAATCTTCCATTGAATCAATCAATTTTCCAGGTTCCAGCTCGCCAAGTGGAAAAGGGTAATCTGTCCCCAGAATAACTTTGTCCTGGCAATAAAAAAACATGTTGTACATACGTAGTTACATTAAACAACGTAGTTGCACGTTTTTTCTGGAATTTATAATAAACCACAGGAAATTACATGTATATATTGGATTGATTAATTACAAAAGTGAATATGAAGATAATCTTTGGGTTCCAACTTCCATTAGGAAGAAAACAAAGGTTGAAAATGACAACTTAAGGTTTTATTGGGTGAATTTAATTTTGGGAGACAAAGTACAGGTTATTTGTTAACTGTTTTTTTGTGGTGTCTAACAGAAGTTTTCTGTATTTTTATTCTGACAGAAAGTTCAAAATGCAAATCCCAGGCCCATGAGCATGAGTGTATAGTGCTCAGGAGACTAAAACATAAATGGTAATTTCCTCCTCAGCTTGGTTTTCTGTACTGCTGGTTTGAAATGTAACAAAAAGGCATCTGTTGTTCTCCTACATGGCTCTGCAAGTAGTTTGCCTAAAATGCAGTGATTAATTTTGATGAAGTGTTTCCATAATTAAATGTTCAATAAGGATACACAGAATTATTCCTCTGTTTCTTGACTTAGTGTTTGGTTCTTTTTCTGTCTCACTGCATGCTCTGCACTGTGGTGTGCAATCCAAAATGAGTGTGAGTGGTTTTGACACATTTCTTTAAGAATCTCAGAAGGTTCTCCACCAAACTCAGAAAAGATGCTTGGATTTGCATTCCTGAATTTGAAATTCTTGACTACACACACATATAGACACACACAAACTTAAAATGATACGTATGTGAGAAGAGCATATAACAAAAAATACAAAACAATTAAAGTTATCTTTTGTGCAATACTTTGAAAGGTGTAATAATTGCAATATGATACTACTTACAGCATGTTACAATGTAAAATTACTACAAACACTTAAAAAAATATAATATTCAGCTACAGATAAAATCAAAAATCTCATTTACAAAATTGCATATATTTTTGGAAGTCTGTATTTTTTAAAAAGTCATTGACTTTAACTGGCCTTGGATATTAGCTGTGCATTTGAAATATGTATTGAGAATATAAGTGACATGATTTATTTTTGAAAGTAAGTCAGTGAAAAGAAAATTCAATAAAAAACCTGTATGCAACATTCCTGTTATCAGAGATGAAAAGAAATAGGCATATCCTCAATAGGTCCCTGTGGTTATGGGTTCATTTTCATACAGGAATATTTCCCCATTTTATCTGCCTTGGAGAGCGCACACTGCTAGCTCTCTTGATTTTATCAAGTCTGTTTTCCTTTAAGCTTCACCTCCTGGAGACTTGAATATTTGAAACCCAGAGTTTTCATTAAAAATAAATGGTTTTAAAGGTCTCATGAATTTGAAGTGAAGCTTATAATTTTGGGGCACATTTTATAATATTTGAACTCAGTTACAAATACTGAAATAGGATGAAGAAAACATAATTCAGTTATTTTATTAAATGGTTAGGTTTTCTTATTTGTCATATGTTGCTTTCTAAATTTTTTTACCTCCAGTAGATGTCACCGGAGAGTCTCTGAAAACCTAAACAAAACCTTCTCCGGAATCCGAGCAGCCGATACACATTCTATTGTTCTGGCCTATATCTCTGTGTTATAATTTATTGCAGAAGTCTTGCCACACGAATAGAAGAGATTTTACCCTCTGTCTACTAGATGAAGTTCTGAGTGTAGATTGAACAAAATAGATTTGTATGTGAGTACTTTTAAGAAGCTGAATACATTCTCTTGTTTATAATATTCAATCTGATAACAAGACATTTTCGTCAGAGACAAAACCCAGATGTATGCCATATGCAAAAAAACCCCAACCAATAGACATACAGGGTTTATTTGAGAAAATGTATTTCTAAGTAAAGGAGAAGGAAACCCAGCTGTTTATTAGTCAAGGTTCTATGATAAGGTTAAATAAGCCAGGAAGATTTATGTTCTTGTATATCTCCTATATACCAAACGGGAAGGACATCCCATGCCCTCATTGGAATAATATGTACATATTATTTCAATTATATTTTTCTTTTCCTTTAAAGTTTTTCACAACTGATCATGTTACCTATTCAGTAGCAGTAAAATTAAGAGCTGTAATTTAATAAGAATTTAGAAGCAACATTATTTGTCTGCTACTAGTGATATTAGGCTATGCGTTTATACTCTTTGAGCTTCAGCTTTGTAGCCACCTATACAATAGGGATTGCAATACCTTTCTTTAGCAACCAGCCTCAGAGAAGTCATGTGAAGTCCCTGCAGATAAATAATACTCCTAGCATAATGGATGTAGTATTATATAATTATAAAGTGTATCAAGAAGGGCAGTTTTCCCTAGAGGATTTACAGTTCAATATGTTAATTAGCACATCTCTCCTTTCAGAAAGGTGTATAGGGATAATGATTAACGTCAGTTAATCAGAGCCTCCTACTCAAGAGAACTTTTTTCACTATGATAGGGGCCTGAATCTTAAAATTAATCTCAAAGGGCATCAGGCTTGACTTCATCCTCTTATGTTAGTAAAAACTATTTGCCTTGAATCTCACATTCTTTCCTACTGTTAGGATGTCTATCAAAAAAGGGACAGACTGCCATATCCAGTTCAGCTCCAACTCTAGCCAGAGCATGTTTCACCTTTGGGTGATGGCTCTTGAGGAATCACCGTGATGCAGATTTTGTAGAAATACACTGAATCATTTCATCCCCATCAATGCAGTTTTTCACTTTTGATAGCCAGTGTCATTAGGAGCTTTGTGTTTATTTGTATTCATGCTGCCTCACCATGGTTGGAGAGTGAAGGACTGCAGCAATTCTGCAGTCTTACAAAATTATTTCTCAGAAATGTGTATTTCTGCTTCCTTGAACTGGGATAGGCTCCAATTAACCTGCACCCAAATCTAAGAAGGGATGAAGTTAAATGTATATGACTCATCACAGCTGTCACTGGATTTTAATATTCATAAGCTGAAAGCCAACACATTACATTCTGATGCCAGGGAATGGCTGTTCCCGGGGGACCTGAAGCCATGTCTATGCACATCTTTACACACACTACTGCCCTTCCTGCACAGCTCTCAGCTGTACTCTGGAGAGCTGTCCTATTTCAGACCTTCAGTTTACAAAGTTACAATGCCATCCTCAAGACCCAATCACATTGTTTTTAGCCCAGCATTTATCCATCTTATAAGTGTTTTTCTGCCAATATATGACTACACTGAGAACACTGAGATATTTGGCATTTTTTGAAGCATTTGACTAAGAGAAATGGTATTGTGGGAGAACATCAATTTTCGTTGGTAAAAGAGGGCATTTTTTTAATCTGCATGTTTATAAAGTAAAGGTAGAAAATGTGATATGAATGTTTTTTCAAGGATAAGATGTCCTAGGCTTTGAATAAGAGAAAGAAAATGTACTTCCTTTTTTTTTTTTTTTTTTTTTTTAGTTTTCCTGGGTGGGTAAAAGCATCTATGTTTTTGGGATCTGACTCATGACTCTTCAGCACTGGGTTCTACCTGATGTCACATTGCTTGAGCTCAAAATAACCAGAGGAGAATTAAAGACGACACCAACATCCCACATAGTACACTGGACAAATTTATTGTGTTAAGGAGCTTAATTTCAGAAGTCTGTTGGCAAAATACACAAGACACCAGAGAGGCTATTGACGAGTGACTTTTAGATTATCAAATTACAGTCCATAACCTCTCTCTCCTCAAACAACTAAATTTCAGTTTTGCAAAGGCTAATTAAGGGTCAGAGTCTATGTGTCACTTCTTGGGAAGAAAGGTATAGAAGTTACAGTTTAAGTGTGGTTCAAAGACAAAAGCCATTGCTTAGAGCAGCCTTGAGATGCAAAGCTAACTTGTTACTCTAGAGCAGAACTGCTCTGAGACTTCCATTTTACAGAATTTTAAACAGGAAAAAGTTAAGTTTGTCAGCAATGGATTAGGCATCCTGTTGTATTTTCTCTCTTGCTTGGTTCTTGACGTCTATGGTTCAGCTTAACAAAATCAGACCAGAAAAACAATCTGTAGGTCTCAGCCATGCTTTGTCACACAGCTTTTAACTTACCAGGGTTATGGCAATTTAAAATTCAAGAGCCAGACTCATCCATCTATACTACGTAGAACAAGAATATACTTAGTATGAACATGGTCTAGATTTGGGAAGATTTCTCAGAAAAGGAGATAATTGAAAGCAAGTGCTGAACTGTTACTCTGCAAGTCTTTGGGTGTCTTGTAAAATGGATGTGCACATCACATGTAGTAAAATCTTTACGTCTAGAGTAAAACCTACTTAAAGCCACTTGGTTACTGTAAACTACAGTTAGATTCAAAAGGTAATGCATAGTAAATAGTAAAAAGTCCTGGGCTGTTGGCCATGATATATTTACTATTTAGAGTTTGGTAGCAGAAATTAGAAGAAATCAATACTGGTCTGGAGCCCTAGTGTTGTGTTAGTAACCCAGCTGATGCCTAAAACTTCATTCCCGACACAGAGATCTCTCCGTCAGTGTTCACTAGGACTAGCACTGCCAAAAGAAATTTGCTATAACATGTACAGAAAACAGGGATACAGTTGTTGAGACAAGGAAGTCAGTGTCAGAGCTTGCATTTCTGTTTTTGACACCTGGTAAGTATCTGTCTGCTAAGTGCAGAATCTCCTGGAGGTCAAGAGATCAAGACACAAATAATGGGTCTCTTGTTGATTTGTAATGATCCATTGGAAGCTGGCATGAATGATGCCATTTTCAACCCCTTCCTGAGCATTTACTAATGAGAAGAAAGTATTGAAATGTGTTTTGATTTTTCTGTCCCATGCTGAATCCCATTTAAACAGGTTGCTAAACTACAAAGATTTCTTTACTCTTTAACAATTAAAATATTTTTTCAACCCCATGATGTTTAATGTTCTTTCCAGAATCCTCACAAAAAACTTATTATTGACTTTTTTTTTTTCTGTCTATAGCTTTGCAAGTGGAAATACAATTTGATTTCGTCAAGTATACACTTGAATTTCAAAATTAAGGCATTTGAAAACAAGGCTCCAAATGAAGCAGTCTTTACTTGCAGTCTCATCCTGAATGACCTTGCACAAGGAACTAGCCTCACTGAACTAAGGTTCACAGTGCATGATTTCCTTGATTAAAAACACCATTTTAATAACTCTGTATATTAAAAACATTATAAACATAGAAGAAGCCCCTTGGTTTATAGTAGCTCAGGTTCTGATTTTACTGGGTGAATATGCTATCTTCTTCCTGCTTTCTTCTTCTCTTCTCCTTTCGCTGTTTCATAGGGAATTAAATAAAGAATGACTCTCCTGCTTCTGGAAGCATTAAAACTCACCTCTCCAATTACACTTGTCAGCAGCCTTAGTGCACCATGGTCATGGACAAGGGAGTCTGTGTAAAATGAACCAAGGTATTTTCTTGGATCCACCTTATTATCAAGTGCACACAAATCAGGGCGCATATTGAATCCGTGGGAGATTCGCCCCACTGTGTATGGAAAAGCTCCACCTGCAAGAAGAATTTTTTTAGTAAAGCACCTGAAAATATGCAGGAGGGAAAAAAGCCACTTTATCAACAGATCAAATGTTACTGTTAGCTATTTAGAAAGGAAGTGCTCCACACCGGCAATTTTTAGGTCTTTCCATTCCATTAGCTTCTTTCTGTTTTCCTCACTTCTTCACTCCTGTGATGCCTAAATGCCTTCTGCTGCTTTCTTGTCCCTTTCCTCAAATCATTTCCTGTCTCCTCTTCCTCCTTGCTTCCCTTAAAGACTATTGTAACAGTTCAAACACTGGCTGAAACAGGCTAGAGAGTGTTCATACAAGCAGCCTGTCTGGCAGATTATCTTCTTCGGGGTAGTAGTACTCAGCTGGTTGCAGGTTTAAGTGGTAACCCTAGCATGTTATGGTTAGCACTAGCTGGCATGCCAGAAAATACAACTGTTATCATGCTCAACTGAATTACAGGTTTCACATGGTGCATTACTTACCTCCGTGTGCAAAGCAAACTTTCAGCTTAGGAAATTTTTCAAGAATTCCTCCCATAAGCATGGAGCAAATGGCTATGGTTGTTTCCGTGGGCATGCCTAAGAACAAAAAAAGCTTTACTGTATGAGAGTTTTATTTTTTGTTTTCCTATTTGAGTTTGAAATGTTAATTTTCTTCAATTAGCCATGAGTCTACTGAAAAAATAATAGTTACAGAGCAGCTGCCAAAGGTTATGCATTATTTCTATTAGAGGAATGCAGATCTGAACATTAATTAACTGAAATGAGGACACAGGACTGGAAGCTAAGATCTGAATTCTAAGCCCACTTTTTACTTTACACCACTAGGACAGCTGGCAGGCAGATTGGGTTTGTCCTGAAACGCACACTGCAGGCTTGATTACTTAGTTATCCCAGCTCAAAGACAAGTCTGGAATAAGCCAGGTTCTCTCACCTGTGTTTCTGAGTTTCATTTGTGTGGAAAGTAGGGCAGATACGTTGGTGGATATTTCAACACAGATCTGAGGTTTAGTTATGACACAGTGCCAGTTCCTACAGTTTAGAAATAGCCTCTCTCTTTGCCATTAGGTAACTTGGGTGCCCAGTGTTAGGAACATAACAGCAATTTAGGTTCCTACATAGGGCCTTGGTTTCTGAGCACACCTAACACATGTAGAATATCATGCCGTTTAGGTGCCTAACTTCAGACATCCAGCTTGAAATTAGGAAATGAGTTCCCCTCATTTATGGAGGAAACAATACCTACCAATATTTTACCATATGCTTAGATGCAAAGCCTTATTAGGCTTAGTAGGAAAATATTTTAATTATACTTCATTAAGTAAATGCAAGAATTTGAGTCTTTTTGTGTTGCTGAGCCTGCTCTGATTAAGACTAAGTGGTATGTTTTAAGATAATGCACTGGTGTTTGGGACACAAAGATTTTCCAGTGCATAATGCAGAACATATATTGTATGTATATTATGTATGTTTTTCAGAACACCTTTACTGGATGCAGTTCAAAACCATGCAAAACAAAACAATGCAAAACAGAATAAGTGAGGATGGAATCACATCTAAACATTTCCAGATATCATTATAACCTGCCTCCTGTTATTCAATGTTCTGATTTACCTAGTAGATGGGGAAAAAAAATCAGGAACTAGATAATTGCCTGTATCCATGGGGAGCTTTCAAAGTACACGTTGTTTCAGCTCGAGTTGATGTAAACTTCTTTGATCAACCTGTTTCTGTGAAATGATACGAGAAATGCTAGGAAGTAATGTTTGGTTTTGCCTACTCCTTCATTTACTCATGTTATTTTTGAGGATCTCATTTCAGAGAAAATTCAGTTTTCCTTAGTCATCTGCTCCTTGTACACAGGACAAAAAAGAATACTAGATTCTATTGCTAGTCTGAATAATTTTAATTCTAGGTATTTGAAAGTTAGACAAACTAAACAAGCTTAAAAACAAATGACTGCTGAATTTACATAACAGACTTAATTACAGTACTTGACTTAAAAAAATATAAGATTGATAGAAAAATAATGTAGTTTTTCTCTGTACGAGTACCTTTGTAACAATCTTCTGGGCATAATATAGTGACAGTTCATAAATGTAGATTAAGCAAAGTAAATATACACTCACCTATTAGCCAGGGAAACCAATATTTGGACATCCTTCCGTCTATCTGCATGTCCCAGGGATGCACAAAGAGACAGCAGTTTAATTGTTCAGCAGCCTGTAGCAAAAAGAAACCTAAACCTTTACTAATCATACCAAAATGCATCTTAGTTCTTAGCCGTGCTTTAAAGATTATCTGCAAAATTGTACTGACCATGAGTACTAGTAATGAAAATAGGCCCAGAAAAAGAACGATAAGCAATAGTTAGTTACATTTACTCCTCTGGGCCATATCCTGAAGTCCTCACTCAGTTTCAAAGTTCTTTTTGAGACTACATGGTTGGAAACTCTGACAATACCTTTTAAATCAGCTGTCCTGGTTTCAGTTGGGATGTATTTTCTTCCTAGTTGATGGTACAGTGCTGTGTTTTGGATTTAGTATGAGAATAATGCTGATAGCACACCAGTGTTCTAGTTGTTGCTAAGTAGTACTTACTCTAAATCAAGGACATTTTGGTTTTCCATGGAGGGAAGGAAGTGAAAAAGTGGCTGTACTTAGTTGCTGCTGGGTTTAAACCGCAATGTAAGCCACTGTTCCTCAGATTAATATGGTACAAAAATGCTTTTTTAGGTGTGTTTGTCAGCAATCTTGCAATATAAAATTTGGCTGGCTCATACTAGCATTCTTTTGGTTTCATTATATGTATGAGGATGAATTCTCGTAATGTTTTATAGAACCATTTTAGGATGGTTTTGCAGAAGTGTTGCAGCTGCATTCACAAATTTTCATTGCAGTTGCACTACATTTGTCCCCTTAGGCTTTCTACCTGGTTTAAGAAAAGTTAAAACTATTCCTAATCCCCCCTAAGAGTTTGAAATCTGATCAATAATCTGTCTCAAATATATACATTTTTCCAAAGCTACAAAGGAAAACAGAACAATACAGGATGCTGATTCTAACTAATTTAACTATGTGCTTATATTTAATAGTCATCAGAGTCATTCATATGCTTAACTGGGATTTAACATCTTCATTTTGTGAGATGTATTTCTGGATCCCCTCTTGTTGCTAAGGAGATTATCACAGTTTTGAAAAATTTGGGTTTATTTACCCATACATGCATAAATAAAGCTGCAGCTTTTGGACTGTAGGGAGTAATTGCCATCTACATTTGTAAAGTAAAAATAGCAATTCAATAAATGGCTTGGTAGATTGATAATGTTCATTACCAAATACAGCTTAATTTCACAATTTTTCTTGTCCAGTGATGTTTCTAAAAGTGGTAGGGGTTACTTCCTACATGTGTTAAACATAAGCTGAAGAATGCACAGTATAAAAGAGAGATCCCAGTATAAGAGAGGAATATCAGGATGCTGGATTGCACCACCAAGGGCACCACCAGCAGAGATAGAGATGTCATTATCCCACTGTACTCAACACTTGTCAAGCCACACCTGGAATCCTGTGTTAAGCTTAGGTCCCTACTATACAAAAAAGCTATAGGCAGGCTGGAGAGGGTTCAGAGGGAGTCCACAAAGATGATTAAAGCGGGGGGAATCCTGCAATGTGAGGAAAGATTGAGTTTGTTCAGCCTAGAGAAAAGAAGGCTCGGGAAAGACCTTATCACCATGTTCTGGTATTTAAAGGCTGGCTACAAAGAAGATTGAGACTCCCTTTTTACAAGGAGTCAAATGGAAAAGACAAGGGGTAATGGACAAAAGTTACTCCCAGGGAGAGGAATCAATCACTGGAATAATCTCCCCACTAAAGTGGTGGGAATCCCCAACATTGGATACCTTAAGATTAGTCTGGAGAGGGTGCTGAGACATTTAGTCTAGGTTGTGCTTTGCCAATTGGACCAGGTGATCCCTGATTCCAACCTGGTATTTTATCATTCTATGATTCAGTGTCTGCAAGAGAGACATGGAGTTACTGGAGAGAGTCCAAAGATGGTGAAAGGACTGGAGCATTTCTCCTGTAAGAAAATGCTGAGAGTGCTGGGACTGTTTAGCCCCGAGAAGGTTCAGCAGGGATCTCATCAATGTATATAAATACCTGAAGGGAGACTGTAAAGAAGATGGAACCAGGCTCCTTTCAGTGGTGCCCAGTGACAGGACCAGAGGCAATGGGCACAAACTGAGACACAGGAAGTTCCTGCTGAACATCCAGAAGCACTTTTTTTACTGTGAGGGTGACCAAGCACTGGCACAGGTTGCCCCGAGAGGTTGTGAAGCTTCTGTCCGTGGAGATATTCAAAAGCCATCTGGACATGGTTCTGGGTGTCTGGCTCCAGGTGGCCCTGCTTGAGCAGGGGGTTGAGCCAGGTGACCTCCAGAGGCCCCTCCCAACCTCAGCCTGCTGTGACTCTGTGAATGTGTGCATCTCCAAGAGGAGAAGTTGCTAACTGACTGAATATGAGCATAAAAATATACCCTGGATGCTGTGCTAACAGAATTCTTGAATAAATTGAGCATTCTGAAAAATAACCTCTATGGATCAGTTCTCAAGCCGACAACTATAATAACCTGTACTATTTAAGAAATGCAATCTATAAGTTCATTTTATAATCAATACATTGAGTTTGGAATTTTGGTCTATTTGCATAATTCTGTATGGTTCTTCGGTTCTACAGGTACCTCTGAAAATCTCAGGGATTTTTATCAGTTATGTCAATAGGACTGGATACAGTAACTTCAACCCAAGATCACAGTGCAGAAATACTTTATTTGATACTTTACTCATCTTCACAAGTCAAGAAAGCAACTATACAGTGAGAACTCATATCATAAACAGTTTTCAGAATGTTTTATATTGTATTATTGTCCTTATTATCCTATGATGAATTATCATATATTATTAAAGCTACATGTCTCTGATCACTAAGTAGATTAGAAGTCTCTGTTGTTTTAACGGCTCTATGAATGTAGTTGATGACTAAATAAGTCTCAAGGTATTTTTAGACAGAATTCCATACCTCAGAATTCCAAGAATAAGGAAAGAAACATATACTCACAGCATAAATATCATAGAGTTCTGGTGCATTCAGGTCCCATTCATTGACATGAGATCCTATTTGTACTCCAGGAAATCCAAGTTCATTCACGCAGCGATGCATTTCCTTCACAGCCAGGTCTGGAGCTTGCAAAGGTAATGTACCCAAGCCGATAAACCTCTTGGGGTATTTTTTTACTGTAGCAGCTAAGTCATTATTTAATATCTGGGCTAGATCTAAAGTATCCTGAGGTTTGGCCTGGTAAGATATTAAGCAGAACAGTACATTAAAATATAGTTCTCAAATGCTATCACCTTTAGAAGATACTGGGTAAATGTCACTGCAAACAATTCAGAGACACGTTTTGAACCTAGAATTTACTTTACAGTTCTGAATAGCTGGAAATCAGTAAGGCTAAGTTCTGCCTCATTTTAAAAACTCTGGGTGCAGTTCTGCTTCTTGTTTTGAATATTTTGTCAACTGCTGTTGCCTCTACTGCTCAGGATGAGTGTAATAAAGCCCAGGTTGCTGATGCACGCAAGTATCTGGTCTTCTGTGTAAACCAGTACTCTGTTCTCTTCTATCCTAATGCAAAAACCTCAGCATATATTTTTTTAACATAACAATGAAATATTTACTCTCTTATTACTGGAGTTGGAGAGATAAAAATAAGAAATGTGAGCTGCTGGATCATGAGAATTCTACGGAGAAAACTCGAGCAAATCTCTCTAACATTTAGAAGGAAATAACAGTCATAATTTGAATAAGGGAAATGTAATATCCATACAATCAGTTTCCCATTTTCCCTCCTAATACATATTTAATGGAAAATATTTCCATGCATAGCAGAATAAAATTTTAAATATATGTCACTCAAAAAGAAATTCTGAAGATCAGTGGTACTACTTATATGTGGGCTTAACACAATGATTTCTAACACAGCGTATCGGTTTACATATAACAGCTTGACTTGTACATAGAGCTAAATAGTTAAATTTAGAATGTATTTAGAAAAACTTTTTGCTATGATTTGTCTTCTCAGACTGCTTTTATTTCTTTGATGCATTCAAGATCACCATGCAGGGAACACACTGATTTAAATTTGCTACTGAATTTTGAGATTCAAAGCATTCTTCTAGGTCAGTGAGTCCCACGCCACGTTTAAAAGACCACGAATATGTATTTTTCTTTCTTTCATTTTTTAATGAGAAAGTGCTGATTAATGTCTAGCTTTCATGGAATCTGTACATACACATCTACCTGCTGACCATGGATTCATATAGTGTAAACTCTCTCCCTGTTTCCAACTACCCCGATAAGGTCCCCAGAAGAAATTCTGTTCTTGTCTTGTTCTTTCTTACTGAGTGTCCTCAGGAGTGGAGTTTCACCAGGACACTCTGCTGGCTTTTCCGACCTGGATTGGTTTTTTCTCTTTTGTTTTTTCTTTTTTCACAACAGAACAACTCCCCATCTACTTCAGTGCTCCAGTGACTGCTTCAATCACCTAATTCATAGGAGGAAGCATTTATTTTTTTTAAAATTTGCTACACATGCAAATTACAAAATATGCCAGTAGGAGCCTACCCAGTAGCTGAACATGACAGGGACTGTGGAAAGGACTTGGACTGTGACTCCTGAGGAAGAAAAAAAACAGTTATTAATATTTCCTCTTTTTTTAGGTAAAATGTTGAAAATAATAAAGCACTTTGATTTGAAATGCAGAAGGTGAAAGCTCTAATGGTAAGAAAGATTAATTTAACAGTGACACGGATAGCATATTTTTTTGCTAACTAAGCATCATGGTACTAATCTATACCGTAGCTTTTTGTGTGACAGGTTACAGGAAGGAACACAACAAATCCAGCAGATTAACAACAGAGGAAACAATGAACAATAATTAGGATTTCACTAAATAGTTACATGTAATGAAACTACTAATGCAAAAGATGCCAGAAAATAAACTAGAACTAATTCTAAGATAATGACCTTGCCAAAACACTCAAATGTTTAACAAAATTATTATCCTCCTTCTTAGTATTTTAAGTAGGAAACAAGAGGTACAAGATCTCATTAGTATTATGTGCAGCAGCAATGGTTTTGGGTTAAGGATAGGGACTACAAAATTACGTATGTACCAAAGTAGAGCCTAAGCTGTATTATCCACCAACATGCTACTGGACACTTAATTAGTATGTTTGAGAACATTCACCATGTTTTCCACAATAAACATTGTATCTGTTTTCAATCCATTTTTACACTTCTGAGCAAATTTATCATAAAACTTAAAGGTAGATTTCCCAGCTGAACATTCCTAGAGACTAGCTTTAGGAAGAAGAAGAATCAGCAAAACTTCTGTATACCCTCTTTAGAGGGTTTTACAAGGGGAGAAAATAATAAGAAAAGGCAGTTAGGATTAACTGAAAGATTTTCTCCAACAAAACTGTAATTATTTGTGTCACAGAACTGTGATGTTGGTTACCTTGATAGTTTATTTTATTGAGTAGAGCAAGACACAGGTTTGTATACCGAATATACCTAGGACATATGACTGTGACAACTAATTTAGTCTCCTTGGTACGCTGGCTACCATTTGTTGTTACTGGCAAGATTTCTTAGGCTTTCACAAACAAAGCCTTTTAGCAACCAAGCTGTAAATTCTCTCTCTGAGTTAATAATACCTTACAGTGACTGATACTAATTTGTTCAGCTCTTTGCATCTTTGTTCCAAAATTATGCTATGTTGGGAGGCGAAATTTTGGGGTATAATCTATCTTGGCCTGTGTTACAGAAAAGGGTCTTTGAATTAAGTACCTACAGCTTTCTAAATCAAAAAGAGTAAACAGGGCCCATAGTCTGTATCATTAGGCGAACTGAAAGAATGGAAAACACTAAGACCTTTTTTTGACACTTAATTGGCTGTTGTCTGTATCTCTGGAGTGTCGTAATAAAAGGGGACATTTTTATGGCACAGGTCACCAGATGGTGCTGTAACACACATTTAGATTTTTATTTATTTTTTTGACTAAATGAGAACTGTTTAGTTTGTGGAGAAATATTGTAGTGTTGGCTTTGTATTACATTTTCTTTCCTGTAGAGCTGTTGGAAAAAAAACCCAAACCATCAAAAATCTTCCATGTTTTCTTTTCGTCTACAGCAAGTATATGGGGCAGAATTGTTTTGTACAAACTTGGTATTAGTGCTGAGGAAAATATCTTATAGGGAAGGATGCCCAAAGGCTATTTATGATCCACACTATGGTTGAATGACACGGTAATCCTCAAAATCCCTAAACTAACTCAGAGAATGACTACAATCTAGCCAAGGCAGCCTACTTCAGAGAGGTTGCAAAGACATTCTAGCATTCCCATTAAATCACAGAATCATAGAATGGTTAGGGTTGGAAAGGACCTTAAGATCATCTAGTTCCAGCCCCAGGGATGCCTCACACTAGACCATGTTGCCCTAGGCTCTGTCCAACTTGGCCTTGAACATTGCCAGGGATGGAGCATTCACCATTTCTTTGGGCAATCTGTTCCAGTGCCTCACCACCCTTACAGTGAAGAACTTCCTTATATCTAACCTGAACATCCCCTGTTTTAGTTTAAACCCATTACCCCTTGTCCTATCACTACAGTTCCTGATGGAGTTTGAAATACTGCTTCAGGATGCAAATGAGGTAGGGAGGGGTGGAACTTGATGATCTCTAAGGTCCCTTCCAACCCAAACCATTCTATGCTTCTATGAATGAATCAGTCTGCTAAACTTTTTCATTTTTTATATTTTTATTAAGCACTTTCAGATGCACTGTTACTCTAAATGAGACAAAATTATTTCAATTCCTTTATGGAGGTACCTGATACGTTCATCTCTTTAATCCGTACTTCTGGATCCCAACAGTTCTCTTGAATAATTCTAAAAACCTTTCCATCCTTCATCATCTTTGCCTGTCCCTGTGAAATGACATTTTCATATATTATAAATGTGACAAAGTAGTACATGCTAATTTATAGCCTCTTGAGGGTATTGTTCTCCCTACAGAAATTCAGTGACAGAATTTGCTATTTTATTTTTATTCAGTGGGTAATTTTAATCAAATACTATTTTAAAATAGTTATTAATAAAAGAGAAATGTGTGACTCAGATTTAATTCTTCATGATAAAACAATCTCCTTTCTTTTGCAAAGTGTGTCATTCTACATTTGTTTGGAAAAGGTATCCAGTACCTTCATCCAACTTTACCCTCCAACCAAATTTTGACCTCAAAATAATGCTCTAATTAAATCCTTGCTAAATTTTCCCTTTGGGTATGTGTGTGTTCTTTTAAAGTCAATAGCTTCACAGTGATTCCAGTAACTACAGAAATAATTGTGCAACTTCGTTCATTTCAGTCCAGTTGTTTCATATTACCAGTAATACTGAGACTAAAGGAGACCTATTATGTTGTCTTCAGATTATATTTTCTCCCTGAGAAAAGAAGAATTATTGAATAATATGTATTTGTAAAAAGAAAAACCTAAACAAAACCTAAATGCAGTATAAAACCATTACCTGAGTTAGTGTAATACCATCTCCATACACCACCAATTCCCAGACTTACAAAGTTCAAAATTCTACCAAGATTATGATATTTAAAAGTGTTCCTATAACTATGGGCATGAAAATTTCATTTTTAAACTTTTTTTTTTGTTTGTTTGCTTGTTGATTTGCCAATTGTCAAAAAAAAGGTTGAGTAGGCAGCATCATCACATTAACAAAGTAAATTGTTACAGTTGTAGGTACCCACATGCCTTTATGGACTTGTAAAAACAGACAAAACAGCCCTTCTGTTGGCCTAGACTTACAGAAATTGATGGGATACAATTCACCAGTACTTGCAAGGCCTGTGTATCTCTTGATTGCTTTAAGCTTGTATAGGGATAAATGGAACTGGATGAAAGTCAGAAGGTCAAAATGACCCTGTGTATTTGGGATGAGTAAGCATGGTCATGCAGCAGATGTATTGCACAGAGAACACAACTGCATCTGCAGCTGAAAATTGAAAACCACATGAGAAAACACAGTAGCTATTCCTTCACCTTCACAGTAAACAGAAGCCAAGTGCCCAGGAGTCTTCTGACCCTTCTGGAAAAGGAATTCTCTCTCTCCAAAGGCCATTCTATTTTTTCCTCACAAAATTGGTTTATTTAGGTTCCTAGCTACTTTTTTTTTAAATAAAAACCCTGTTAAATCAGAATATTTGCTACTAGTATGCTAAACCAGAAATAAATAATAAAATTTCCCTATCTCTCTCAGAGCTGGGTTTATGTCCCCTCCTTCTGAGAAGTCAGACTGCTGTTAACCTTGAATTTGTTATTAACTTTATACATCATTCACAAATATACTGCCTTAATGAATATTTTAAAGCTCTCTTCAACAAACCTAATGGTGCTGCCTTGGCAAACTGTCAAGTTAATTGTTAGCTGAATCACAGGTTGTGAAATATTAGAGTTGGTAATAACAACTACATAGTCCTAATTCCCTGGTAGAATACTTCGGGTTCTGGTAAAATTGATTTTCCAACCTGACAGAAAGGTTTACTCTAACTATACTCTCCTAGCACGGTTAGAGTAAACTACATTATACATATATATATATAGAGAGAGAGAGTAAACTACTAGATACTCTAACGATAACTAGATACTTTAACCATAAATCTAACATTTTTTAACTACATTAAAAAAAAATCAGTGTATTGATGCAAATTGCCTAATAGAAAAATATTTTGGTGTGAGTAGAGAAAAAGAGTAGAACGGAGCATTGCATCACATATGAATAGATTGTGTGAATTTTACTGAATTACCACTGGGAGTGCATCTGTGAACACAGGCAACTTAATTCTTTCCTCAGGCACAGGTAAGGCATTGCAGCTTACCTGCTCATACTTTTCTTCTGCTAATACTGAATGCAAAATTAGATAGATTGTAACTTTATTAGCAACTTTGACAGTGCTGCTACTTAAATGCCAAGATAAACCTGCAACAGGGTTTCAATATAAGAAAGGTTTCTAAAAAGCCATGTGCTGTTGTTACTGAAGAACTAGTTGAACTGTTGGCTCTTTTCATTTGCATTAACCGATTGTTTATGAATACACTACAGGTCAAGGCTGAGCTCACAGCATTGTATGTTGGTAACAACAAACTTGATTATGCAGTAAAGCAAAACATAATCATCTGAATAGATACATGCTTGTCTATGTAAGGATATAAAGACTTGGTCCAGCAACACTGTGACTGTAAAATGAGTCATATTGCTATGGTCCATAAGACACTGCCACTAATATGCATGTGATATTTTTAAACAGAGATATTACTCCACTGGGAAACAATTCTTAGGGCTTTTAGCACTAGTAAGAATGAAGCATAGATCAGGAAAAGAATTTTCTTGGATGCAGCACTGAAACTGTCATAAAAGACATGGGATTTCTATTTGCAAGGTTAACACTATTTTCTAAGGTCACAGCTGAAGAAGTCCTATTATTCTATGCTATTCTGTGTCAGTGTATTTCTAGGCTATTCCATTCCGTTCCATTCCATTCTATTCCATTCCATTCCAAACACTGTCTGATACTTGAGGCTTTAATTAATTTATGTGGCAATTAAGAGAGAGATATTTAAGAATTAAGTCCAGCAGGCTGATTTGGTTCAGCAAACTATATTTAAAATTATCCCATCAGTAAATTACTCAGTCACATACCATATTGTACTTTAAAAATGCATTTAATTATTTTCTTCCAGTTTGGCCCTGATGCTTCTTCACAGAACGATATGAGAAGCTTTTGGGGTTCTTTTTAATCTGAAGAGTTAACTTCCCCAGCTCCATATCTGAACAGGATTTTATTTTGCCATGCACTTTTTTCTTGCAACATTTTCAGACAGAAGTAGGCTAGACAGAATTCTCTGCAGAGTGCATAAGGCTATTACTGACTTGCCACAAGGCTCCTTTGCAAGCTATTTTTAGCAAGAAATTTTAGCATCAGACCTGTAAAAAACAGCTAAGCTACTAAAAGTGTCTCCAACAGTTCTCTCCTTCCTGCACCTACCATGTATCTCAGAAGCTGTGCCATCCACACTTCGGCTCAGCAGGTGGCTTGTTCTCCCCTCCTAGGCCTGCTTATGCTTAGATCTGAAATTTCAGCAAATATTTCTTTGCTTCTCATTTTTGTTCCCAACCTTCATATTCTGTTATCCTTTTTCATAAATGGTTGTCAGGCATTTGACAGGACAGCCTTGAATGTTATATAATGACAAGTGTGTATATCACTAGATTGCAATAAACAGACACGGTTTTGTATCCATTTTATCAGCTTTTTCCAGTTAATATAAGCATATACGCAATCACAGAGAAGTATGATTTTGTGAAGTAGCAAAAGGATGAGGGAATGTCTAGACACACTGAAATTAACAGGCATTATATATTTAAATACTCTGATTACCTGGAAGATGCAAATCTTGCTTTTTGAAGACAAATAAAGTGTTGAATCACTACAGAGAATGAACAAATTGGCCAAATCATACACTAAAATATCAAGCAATAAGGAAGACCAGGTACTATTTTTTTATAAGGTTACCCAAACAGGGAGAGGCACTGCCATCCTGAATACATTAAGCACTAAATCTTTTTATCACTTATCCTTCTAGTTTCCAGTACAGAATTCCTACATTGATATCATGTCCGAATTTCAGAAGACAGACACAGATTAACCCCTGCATATAGCCTGCCATTGTATAACACAGCTGAGTTTAGACAGTTATTTGCACTCTTCGCATGCATTAGGTGGGTTATGAGCTCACTCTCTGTACTGAGCTATTCATGCTCTCAGTTTTGCGTCTTTTGTCTTTCAGCTTACTACATGCACATTGTTCTTTCTGCTTTTATCTACACAAGTCCTCTTGGCTTCTTATTTTTTCCTTAGTTATCTGGCTAATGCCTTACATTTCTTTTATCCCTTCTGTATCTGTACAACTCACAATTGGCAATTAGAGATGAAAATTTTCAAGTTAGAACAGGTACATAAGAAGTGAGATGGAAAGTGAACTGAGGTCTCTTGAGACCTCTTTTTAATGCCATATTTCCCTCTCCTGAAGCCAGTGCTATTTGCAGTGACATGCTCTCCAAAAGAGTCCTAGAAGCGGGGAGCTGACAGGTCTCAGGAGAAAGCTGGCTTGATGTGTGAGACAGACAGGGATATATGATTGACATATTGAAATTATTATATTATCTACTCCACTCTGGTGAGACCTGCAGTACTGTGTTCAGCTCTGAGGCCCCAATACGATAAGGATGTAGGCCTGTTGGAGTGAGTTCAGAGGAGGACCATCAAGTTGATCAGAGGGTTGGAGCACCTCTCCTATGAAGACAGCCTGAGAGAGCCAGGCTTATTCAGCCTGGAGAAGAGAAGGCTCAGGGGACACCTTAGAGCAGCCTCCCAATACCTAAAGGGGATGAAGAAATCTGGAGAGGGACTTTTGACAAGGGCATGTAGTGATAGGACAAGGGGGAATGGCTTTAAATTGGAAAAGGGTAAATTTAGACAAGATACTAGGAAGAAATTCTTCACTGTGAGGGTGGTGAGACGCTGGAACATGTTGCCCAGAGAAGCTGTGGCTGTGCCATCCTTGGAATTTTTCAAGGCCAGGTTGGAAGGGCCTTTGAGCAACCTGGTCTAGTGGAAGGTGTCCCTCCCCATGGCAGGAGGTTGGAACTAGATGATCTTTAAGGTCCCTTGCAACCCAAACCATACCATGATTCTGTGGTAACAGAGGCAACATCTTTAAAACAGTCAGTTAACATACATAAACAGGTACAGTTAACATACATAGTAATGTACAAAGGGGATTATTTTGCCGTACCAGCCCTTACTCTCTTAGGTCCTTGTGCCCTTCTCTAAAAAAGCAGTAATACTGCTATTTTTTAAATGCTCTTACCAAACGATAAACTGCAACATTTTGATCTTGCTTTCAGAAGTTTTACATTTTTGTGTCACTGTGTCACTAAAATTACTGCCGATTTGCTCTACTCTGAGTGAGGTCAGAATCAAGCCTTTAAGAAACCAGTTCTGTCTGCATTCAGCAAATCCATGTATTTTGCTAACTTCAAAACCAGCAAGATGGGTTCTGAATGAGAAGTTCAGAAGTTCACAGACTCATGGTACATGGAGGCATGTTGTTCCAGTTGTACTAATGTAGCTCAGATGTGCCTTTGCAAAGTTAATAGAGTGGATGGTGATAAAAAGGGAAGTAAAATCAGACCCAGCATGCCTTTTACTTGCCAATAAACCTCACATTCCTACTTTTATACATAATGGTCCCAAAATCTATGCATTGTCCTTACTCTTCTGCTACCTGCTCTCCTCATCATGAAGTTACAGAAATTACTCTTCCTTTTGCAGAGACGCAAAGACATGTTATCGTCTTTAACTTCTATTGAAATACCAGTTCCTTTTGGTTTTGCTTCTCATACAGAAGACTACATTACTTTAGACTGGCTGACCTATCTTATTGAAGAGCTATCCATGATGAGATGATGATGAAAAATGAATACTGGTTCATACAAGAGAATGTGAGTTTCAGCTCTCAAGCAAAAAGTTCTACTGAGGCATATTAGGACTTGGAGTGATATTAATTCATAGAAGATAGATCTTTAGGGAATCTGTATCAGATATAGCTCATCTTGCTGTCACTATGCTTTTTAATAGATTTACTGTGAGCATGTATTCCTGATGTTCAGCTTAGATTTTCCAGGATCAGTTTCGATATTCTAAGATCATCTTAGAGCACCAAACAGTCCAAACCTTGCAGTGATGATCCAGCTGTACCCATCCACCATACCCGTATCTCTGTAAAAGAAAGAAGAAAAAGCCAGTGCTAGTTAGCACTCTGCAATAATGATAATAAAAATCTCAGTTCTTACGATCCAGCAGTACCTCATTCAGGAGAAACATTTTCACATATGCTCAGCTTTCAGCCTATGATTAGCCCCAGACTTCAGCGTAAGTCCTGAAGTTTAACTGGGTTGGACCAATGGTATTTGTAGAGCTGAACTTTCAGCTCCCAGTTCAACAGCATTTTAAAGTAAGTCTTACAACTGATTTCAAAATGGTTAAAGTTGCTTACTATATTGAGGTTCTAATGCATGTTTTTGACACAGAAAAAATTAAATCAAGTAGTTGCCAATATGAAAATTGAGCTGACAATTTTCCAATCTGGGATCAGTTAATCATTAGCACAAAATTGTATTGATTCCACTTTTCAGCTTCCATGATTCAGCAGTAGGAATCAAGGTCAGACTCTTGGCTATTAATATTTAAACAGCCAAGAGAAGCTAAAAGGGAGAAGCTTAGACGCTCATTGATTCTTCCAGAGAGATTCAAAATTGATTACACAAAAGCATCCCAACACCAAAATCTGCAAAAGGTACAATTTTTTTTTACTTTCATAAATTATCAGACTTGAAAGAAATGAAATCTTGAAATACCATAATAGACTGAAAACAATGTTCAGAATTCCCATTTTTCTGTAAAGAAACATTTCAATGGGAACTACGTAAAAGCATGCATTTCTTTCACTGACGTCTAAACAATTTGAATACAGTCCTGAATTTCCTGTGGTAACAAATCATGATGTAATGCCACTGTGAGCTTTCCTAATGTGAGCATGCAGAACCAAGCCTCCTAGCTTCAACCAATCAGGGATGATAATGACTGAGGCTGCGTACTATTTAGATATGTAGCTCTGTGTGCTTTATTTAAATTCATGGATTTCTAGGTTTATATATATATATAAAAAAATGTTTAAATTTATGGAAAGTTTTGTGAGTGACACCTGATGAGAACTTTGTTTTCCCTAGCTCCATGCTAATTGCAATTGCAAGCTGTGCAGAAAACAAGTACTTTAAAGGTGTTAAAGGAGCATTTAGGCAGTAAAAAACCTCACTGCTCTGTTTTTGAACTTATTTTCTTCTTTCTTCCCCTCAGTTCCTAGTTGAATGTATTACTTATTTCATTTATTTCTATGAAATGTCATACCTATGGTTTCCTAAGCTCTTAAGTAAGTATCTTGACAATAGAATTATCTAAATTCAGGGTTCAGTATTTATAAGGCTGGGGAAAAAAAAAAGAAAAAAGAAAAGTTTACTGTGCATGTTGGGATTGCCTCATTGTTTTTCCATGCGTGAGATGCAGAAAGCTACATTAATGCCTTGACTTTTTAGAGGACTCTAGGGAATTCTGAGAGTTGTTTTCTATTCTGGGCCCATTAATAAACCATTGAATCACTCAATCTTTACAGCAGAGGAAACAAAAACTAGCAGGTGGGAATTAAGTTCTAAAAATCTGGTTGTTTGCCTTTTTGTCAGTGTTTAAATAAATGCAACATTACTAGCAACAGCAAATTCCGTCTTGATGTACATCTGTGAATGTCATGAGATTCTTGTGATGATTTTATCTCAGTGAATTTATTGCCCTTTTAAAGTACATACAGAAAAACATAATATCTTTAAATCATATAAAATCAGAATGAAGGAATTTTATAGGCAGTTTTATATGGATATTGCACAAACAAGGACAGCAAAATCTGAAACAAGCAAGAGTAACCTGTCTTTGTAGTCTGGATATTTAAATTCCTACCCATTTAAACCAGACATAATTGTTCTAAAAAATATCTGTCATCTCACCTACATTATCCAGCCTATATTTGTTTTTCGTTGAGGAGCTCTTATTATTGCAAATAGGAAGTTCAAATAGGTGTTTAAAAATACCTTTGTTGGTAAATGGAGGTTTCCTTTCCAGGAGGTTTTATGAATAATGATGTTATTTTTCACTACTAATGAAGAAATGATCCTATGTATGCTTTTAAGGCCAGGTTTTCTCATGACGTTTTTTTTTAACATGCTGTTTACATTTTCCAGCTGCTCTCTGGCTAATATTGAACTGACACTGGGCTGTCATGTTTAAAATCACAGAAACACAGAGGTAATACATATGAAACACTTACTGAGATTTTGCCATCATCAACCTCAAAATAATTGAGAGAAATGTACAGGATAAACCAGTTTCAGTTACTGTCTCAGGTGCCTAAGCACATGGCTGAAATAATGGCATTCTTTTGTTGTCAAAGAGAGGCACAATTAAATCCAATGGATCCATGCTACTGTCAGATACATGGAATGTTCATTCAAACTACAGCCAGCACAGAATTACAATAAGGAAAGAAGCAGCAATGAAAGTCTTTGCTACTCTGATTTTTTACCATGAATGGAAGCATTAAGGAGTTACAAAACATACCTATCCTGGAAACCCGAATGCAAAGTTCAATTGAAAATAATTTTATTTTTTTTTATAAACTATATCTATTATAATTTCACTTTTCATTCTTAAATAATTTTCATAGGATGATGAAAATTATTACTGACAAGAATGATTTTTTCCATTGAATAATATTAAGAATAATAACAATAACAATAGCAACAACAACAACAACATGCAAAGATTCTAAATAAATTCAAGTTGACTTATGGCTTCAATGTTCTAACACCTGATATTTTGTATTTTTAATACAATATACTACTTTTTTTCCAGTAACTGACACACCCCCCCCCCCCCCCAATATGAATGAAACTATCATCATCATCAATTAACTGTACTTATAGTGACCCCAGTTGTACTGAAGTTAATGACCTTCATGCCTGTGGTTATAAGATGTGAATGACTTTTGTCTTAGACAACATTAATCTTGTCTAATAGTTGCTTATTTCTCTTATTTAAACCAAAAGGAAATACCATTTGGGAACCTGAAAGCTCTGGTTTTATCAAGAAAGTTGAACTTACACATGATTATTTGGCAATTTTAAGTCTCACAAAAAAGCCCAAGCTAAAATATAAGAATTGCTTCATACTAAACAAAGAGTGGAGAAGAGAGACCAGTTTTTCATCCCTTTCTTAGTGGGACTCTTGCTTTGCAAAGTAAAGCAATACAAATATCTTACATCCAAAAAAAAGAAAAAAAAAATTCAAATTAGACAAAAGCCTAGAGATATTTATAACAGAACCCTTCATTCACTGCTCTTTCAAAATTACATTAGTAGAAATGGTTGCTGATAACATAAGGCACTGAATATCTAAACTCTTATTACCTTTTCTAGGTCAGGCCATTCCTTAGGTAGAATGTGGCTATGAATATCAATTTTCATTTTTAAAGTATCAAAGGAGAAATACTGCTTCAATGAAAATGTTTTCTGTGTAATTGCTACTATCCTTCCTGTGCCTGGTTCAGCAGGTTATTAACTTTGGCCGCTGTTGTGATCCATCTGCTGTTTTATCAGAAGAGCTAGGGTACAGTGGCCAACCAGGGAGCCTAAATCCTGGAGGAGTGGCTCTCTGAAAGAACAAAAGCTTCTAGCAAAAAGTCCCCGTTAATGCATAAACTACAGCTGATTGAAGGCAAAGGGAAAATACATGTTTATATTGGCACTAGAAAGGGATTTATTTTACATAGGATCTAAAATGCAAACTTGTTTACAGTTCAAAACCATTCAATAAACCTGAATTAGAATAAATGCACTAAACAAGCTGACTTGAATTTCCTCCTTTCTCCCTCTTAGAATCTACAGTAATTTGTAGAGAGCATATAACCTACCCTTGGTAGACAGTCATAAATCCATTGCAGGGGGGGTGGAACAAGATGATCTTAAGGTCCTTTCCAATCCTAACTATTTTATGATTCTATGATCTACTCTCTTTTCATTTCTTCACAATTTCTTTAAAACTATGTAATAAATAAATAAATAACTAAATCACAGAAATACTGAATTGTAGCCAAATCTATGCTCTGCACTTTATTTCCCCCTTCTCATTATTACTTCACTTAGGCTATTTACACATGCTTCTGCAAAACAGTGCTTACAGGCTCTCAATCCAGCTCAAGATCTGGAAGGAGAATGCCTCAGATTATTTTAGCAATTAATGCTAGTGTAGCTCACTAGCTAATATGGCAAACAGTTTCTGCATCCTAAGTCAAGCTTAACTGGAGCTAGCTCAGATTTTCTGTGAACTACATCTCATGTTTTGCTCTTTGCTCAATTTAGTATTACACTTATTTCCTCGAGATACCCTTTGCTGTATTTTTCCCTGTAAGTTATGTCTTTTGTAACTTTATTTCAATGTATGCTACTCACACGCTACTCATCTTATGAAAGCTGGTTAACCATTTCTTGATTAATTTGCTTCTAGTGAAAAATGATGTTTTTTTTTTTTCAAAAGCAAATGCTATTGTGAGTCTTGCAACTTGAAATCAAGCAATCTCAAAAAAAAAGTGGCCCATTTTGTTTCATCCTTTTTCTGATTTTGTTATTTTCTGATTTAGTTATTTAGAATTTTGTTTGGAGTTAATAAAAAAAGAAAAAAAAAAGGACTTTTATTTCCCTGCTTGCTTACTCATTAAGCAAGCCTGCTTTAGATTTGGTCAGTTAACCTTCTTACAGTTATTTATTCTTCAGGTCAATTCCTTGTGGCAGGATTGTTTCTTTCGCTTGATGGGGTGTTTTTCTGCCATGTGAGAGCACTGAAGACTAAAGTTCAAAAGAAATAGGAAGCAGCAGCTTTGTGAGAGTATTCCCTAAGTAAAGCAGGACAGCCAATAATTCACTTTGACAGATCAAAACCATGGGATTGAAAATTGCAATTATTTCCATCTTGAAATCAAAACAAATCTCTTCAAGACAGGGCTGCCAGGTTAAGCAGCAAATTTGCTTTCTTGCTCCCAAATGTGACAGCTACGTTGTATGACCAACCATATCTATAGTGTTAGCCTGTTGGCAAGCAATGTTGCTGTAAATACAGTAGCAGAGGTAAGAAAGAAGTATTGGTTCAGCTGTGGGAACTCTGCATTGTGAATCCTATGAATCCATAGACATGAGGCAAAAAGTTAAGGTGAGTCCTTGCATACAGTGATGTCTGGAAGACAATTCCCTATTTAAGCGTAGAAAGTAGAGGGGAGAGGGGCAGGAAGAAATTGGTCTACCTGAATAGCCTAAGGCATATAGTCTTTTCTCTTAAGTCACCATAGCCGCAGACTACCATGCAGAGATCAGCAGCATTTCTTCAATACTGTGCTTTAGTCTTCTCAGCTCTAAAAAAACATGTAGTTGTTAGCTGCTGCTCCAAAGACACAGCTTAGCTTGCAAACAGTGAAGTTCTCTCACACTGCATTTCACATAACAAAGCATATAATTTGGAAACAATACCAGTAAAGGCAAAATTTGTATCCATTTCACTTGATCAAAGTGACAGTAAGACACCTGTCTATATCCAATAAAATCCATTGGATCAGCAGCAGAAAGGCCGTCAGTGGCTATGAATAAATGTATCTTCAGCTACCCAGGCACCCCCTACCTACTTTGTGTTTGGGTTTGAAAAACAGAATACCTTCACTGAAGGTTTGTACAATGTGTCTGGTAACAGTGACTTACGTCTCTCAGTCTCTTTGCTGAGTTTGTTCTAGCAACGTGATGGCTTTTGGCATGGACCTTGCTATCTGTTTCCACCTGGTTGTGAAATTCTGGAGTGTGACACAGAGGTGCAGAAATTGACAAGAGTATCCAGGAAAACCTACAGCTGGGTCAGATGGTCCTACACAGGCAGAACTCGGCTTAAATTCACTGTGCTATCTGTAAGCAGGAGGTCATGACCAGATGGAAACTTTCATGTCTGAGGCACAGAAGTGTCTGGGGCAGCAGAAAGTTGTATTGGACCAATATCAGGCCTGAACTATACCCATTCTTGGGCTGTCCACAAATAATTTATATCCTAGAGCATTTGGATGAGACCACAAAGCTGGTCAGAAAAAAATAAGAGTGATCAGTCAACGAACATACTTGTTACACCTGCTAAGGAGAACTAAAATGTATAGAGACTTCTTCCCAGACAAAAGTAGCCTCCTCCACACATTAACATGGCATGCCCCACCTGCCTCAGTACACTTAATGCATGGCATACATGTCTTTAAAATCATACACACTTACGGCCATTAGAAACCAAACTGCATTCTTTATTTTGACCAGCTTCATTATTTTTTTTTTTTTTTGTGCATTACCTGTTTTCTATTTGTGTAAGTTTAGGCTGCGAACATAATGAACAACTCCTTCAGGACAATTTAGCTAAAGACTGTTCAGGTCAAGGCTGATTTTAGGTACACAGATGCAAGCCTAGCAGAACTAGAGAGTTTTATTTACCTAAAGGGACAAATACTGAAGTGAAAATGGTGTTAGATGCAGACCATTAAATGCTCTTTTCCGAAGCTATTTAGCTGCTTTTCTCAAACAGTTACAGAATCCGAGATTTGGTGTCTTCACGCTGGAAAGGGGGGATCCAGTTCTGGACTTTGTTTATTAGGGAGAAAGTATCTCCTCACATCAGTGGGAAAACCATGGCACAGCATTCTTTGAAAGAGGGTGCATCAACAAACATTGGTAAACATAGCATGTGTCTGCCACAAACATGCTATGCAGGCAGCCCATTTTTAAGTAGGATGAACACAGAGCACAAACATTCAGGATGCTCATGTCAAAAAAGGCTAAAATACTTGTGTCAGTTTTTGAAACCTTCAGTTTTGCATGTTCTTCTCTGGCACCTGCTCTTTAAATTGCACATTTGTTTGTGCAAATTGGCTATTTTATGCATGTACACAGCTGTGGAAAAACAAATGAAAAACTCTTTGTACTCAGCAGCTAAGATGAAGTACTTAAAGAATATGTCCCTTTCCAAATGAAATAAATGTTCAGCAGCGCACTTATATTGGTTGCTTAGCAACAGGTTATTCTTTGGCTGTGCTGGGGACTGTACTGATCCTTTGAGACTGCCACTACAGACCTGCTTGGAAATGTCACATTTGGAAAGGATGCAAAAGTCAGTAATTTTATTTTACTGTTTGGTATCAAAAAATTGAACATCTTTTATTAAATTAACCTAATCATGGAGCTTCATCCTCTTCTGGGATCCCAGAGAACATAGACATTTAGTGCAGGTGGTATGGTTTCTCTTCTATGAGGAATAATAACAATGGTTATAGTTTCCCTTCTAATGAGGAATAGCATTATGCAGTTCCCATGTAGCACTGTCCATATGTAGATCTCAAGTGCTTTACATCTCAAGATGCTATTTTTTACATGAAAACATCAATATACCTAGCACAAATACACCAGGAGGACATGTCCAGCTACAGTTACATCAGTAAAGTACTTCACAAAGGTGTATCCCAGAGATGGCAGCAGCACAGGCATAATAATCATTAAATACTGAAGACAAGTAGAGTAAAGTTTTCATTTTCTTATTCAAAAACCTCTGCAGAAACAAATTACAGAAAGAGCCTCTGTTTAGACAAACATAAGAACTGATGCTGATCTGTACGTGAGCCAGTTTAGCCTTGCTGAGAAGTTTGGCTTTTTAGGTTAGATGTGATGCTGTACTGATGCATCTCTGACACTTCCAAGAGCTAATCTATTAAATTTGCATAGTGAAACTTCATGGTTGTACAAGCTCAGGATGATGCTCATTGGGTGGTCTCTTTATTAGACCTGCCCCAGCTGCCACAGTTGTGTCACTGAAATTTGTTGTGTAAAAGTGGCCAAGATTGCTGACGCTTTTGGCAGCACACTGTACTGCTTTGTGACTACTAGCCTAGCAAGAGTTCTGATGAATCACACCATGGTGAAAACAAACGTGTCCTATGCCAAATTCCTGACCATTACAGTGTTTTCTGCTGCATAAGTTAAGCTGTAATAAATCCTCATTTATTTTCAGGTTTCTAGAAAATATTACATTGTTGAAACTCAACTAGTATTTTAAATAAAAAGAAAAAAATATGGCTATCTTACAAATGTTAACTATTTTCTTAATACACTATAACTGCAATTATGAAATTTACAATTACCATTTATCTTGAATAGAAATGTTCTATCAAAAATGATAATTAGATATTTTCCAAAATGTAAGTACAAATAAAATAGTTTCTTTTTTTTTTCCTACACAGACAAATAAAAAAGACTTCATTTAAGCACATAACAGGCCAAGTGTCACTCTTGTGCAGTGGGAGAAACCAGACAGATACCAGTAGTATAAATGTGGGCCAGAAAGAACAGGTGGAGTAAAGCTTACAGATACTGACATCAAAAAGTGATAATTTTCAAGTTGATACCCCATAGTAACATCTGAGATTGTTGCAAATATTTAGAAGGTTGGTGTCTGAAATAAATAAGTAGTTAACTGTTGCCAAATGTTGTCCTAATGACTTTTTTTTCCTGTGTGCC